AAGGAAGGAAGGAAGGAAGGAAGGAAGGAAGGAAGGAAGGAAGGAAGGAAGGAAGAAAAAGAAAAAGAAAATCTGCTTGCAAGTACTCTGGGGACCAGAAGAGGGAGCTAAGGGTGGGAGGAGAATGGCCAAGGTGGGAACAGGGGCCGTGTAAACTTGCCCTTGAAGGAGGAGGAGGCAAGGAGATTCCAGGGGAGGGAACAGTATTTGCAGAGCCCGGGAAGCACAAAGGAGTGGGCAAGGGTGGTTACAGAGGGAGGAGGGGCAAGGTGGGAATCGGCCTCAACCCCCACCCCCAGAGCAGTCCCCACCCTCTTTTGGCTTTTCTTGTTTCCTTACCCACTTTCAATTTCAAGGTCAGCTGTTTGAGGGAGCAGATACCTGCCACCATGATTACCTTATGCCCTGTCTCTCGTGCCACTCCTCACTCTTAGGTCCACCTTACCCCAGGCTGCTGGAATTTGCTGGACATCTGACACAGCCTGGGAGGTGAGCCCAGCCGTCCCTTGGGGAAGTGACATCATGGAAGCCCATGAGAGGCCTGAGGGGGTCCAATGCCCCGTTGGTGCCCGACATCAGTATCCTTCCACCGGATTGTGGGCTCCTCTCCGCTCAGGGCTTCCTTGGTCTCCAGTGATGGTGGACAGAGTCTGCTTTGGAGTCAGACCAGCCTGAGTTTAAACGCCTTCTCTGCTCCTTGGAAGCTTTGTGACTTTGGGTAAGGTCCCAGAGGCTCGCTTTCCGTATTCCTGCAGTGAGACTGCCCGCAGCAGCCATTTTCCTCACCGGCTCCGTCTTCTCCACCGCAGGTTAGGGAAATTAAATGAGATTAAATGAGCTTGGAATAAGGAAGGCACCTGGCATGGCCTGGGGCTGCAAAGGAATTCCCTTCCAAGGTGCAAAAGTTCATCTCCCCACCCCACCCCACCCCTCCTTTCCTCCCCTCCCTGATGAGCCTCTGCCTCCTTTGACCAGGCTGTCTACACGGCCTCATTAGCCACTCCTGGGCATCTTGCCCTGCTCTCCTCCCACACCCCTCTGGACTCAGACACTATCTGCCCCTCTCTCCCAGGCCCCGCACCACTCCCCCATCCTGCTTTGCTCTCTTTTTACCCTACAGCCCTCAATGGCCCCTAGCTAGTCATTCATTCATTTGCTCTGTGGAGGCCAGGAGACGCATGTGCCCTGTGTTGTCTTCTGTACGGGGGCACCGGCTTGGGAGACACCTCCCCAGTGACATGTGTGTCACAGCACAGCTGGAGAGAGGCAGGCTTTAGACACTCCCCCACCTCCCCCCACACCCCCACTCCCAGCAGAGGAGAGTCCTGGAATTTCCCAAAAGGAATCTGAATGTGCCCCCACCTTCCCCTTTCTGACCACCTGGGGAGTGGAAGGGCCTGGGCCTCATCCCATCCCCTCAGGGTCCCTCCCTCCACTCCTGCCTCCCTCCCCCAGCCTTCCTCTACCCTGCTCTCTCCAGCTTCCAGGCCTCTCTCCCTACGTAAAAACTTTTGGAAAAAGAGGCCCACGTTATCTCTATCTTCCTGCTTCTCACGCCACTCACCCCTCAAACCTGCTGCATGCAGGTGGCGTCTATTCCTACCACCCCGAAGAAGCCTCTCCCGGATGCTTCCAGCAGCTTTCCAACGGATGGGTCTCAGGCCCTGTCTTTCTGGACCTCCCTGCAACCTCTGGCCAGCTATCCACTCCTTCCTTGAAACGCTCTTCTTTTCCCCGCATTTGCGATGCCGCACATCCCCCTTTCTCTAAAATGCACATCCGGTCAGGCCAGTTAGGCACTCTGAGGTCCCAGCCTCGGTTAGGTTAGGGGCTAGGGGCGGCGTGCTCGGTCCCCGCGCACCTGGACAGGGCCCCCTCTCCACGCCAGGACTTTGGCCCTGCTCTTCGCTTCACCAGAAACCCTCTCTGGTCTTCACCCCTGGGGTCCCAGCTTGGATATTACGAGCCTTCTCTCCCTGCCAGGGCCTGGGCACACTTCATGGGGGCCTCCCCATGTCCGTTCCTCCCGCTCACACAGCATCTAGGCCACTCACTACAGCCATCTCCCCCCCAAAACCATGGGCTTCCTGTGGCTGGGGGCTGTGCTCCCTTCCCCCCTCCACTGCTGTCAGGGTTGGCCAAACACAGTACACGGGACAGGGACAAACTTAAACTCACTCTTTATCTGCAATTCAGATTAACCTGGGTGCCTCTTATTAT